ATATGGAAGTTTTTTTACTAAGCAAACCAACAATTCCTATTTCAGGTGCATCACAAGTAACTACAAAATCTTTAAGGAAATTAAGCAATCTCATAATAGGTGAAGTAGTCATCAAAATTTTCATTTATGAAAAAGATAAATCAACAGTATGTATCCATGAATCTTCAAAATATCAACGATAGGTCGCATGATGGTGTTAAAATTCTTAATAAATCTCCAATAAAATGTAGTAAGTTCATGACAGCTCATAACACTAACAAGGCTTATAAGAGTTGGTCAATCAAGAATTATTTTTATCTTAACAGGATCAAGTTGGACCATTGGAGGCGAGTAGAAGAAACAATAAAACCCAAAATATGACTTTTTTTTTTAGAAAAATTTAGCTTTCTAAAATTGAAATATAATTGTTTTTCCCTTGATGTTGTCAAAAGTAAACCCCAAATAGTCAATGTTTTTTTATCAACTATGAAAATCAAAATATTATCAAAATCATCATTATGAGTTTTCAAGGAAAAGGTCCACAAATTCTATTCATCATTCCAATAAATATGGTTGGAGTATTAGGTTTAAAGGGCATAACAAGCCATTCATATAATCTATCTGAAGTTTTAAATATATTTTTTTCATTTATCTCCAAGTCTAATCCTATCTGATTGTAACACTTTTTTAAATCAATTTAGAAATAAAATAGTTAGTCTGAAACTAGATCTAGCACATCATCTAAATTACTTAAAAATCAATACTTGATGGCTATTTTGTTAACACTCCTCTATCCACGCATTATCCAAAATCCACCCTTCTCAAGGATCGGTAAGTTAGGTATAGCACAAAATACTAGGGCTCTCCTAAGTAATCATTTCTAATATAGAAGTCAAATCAGCATGTCATGTTCTGTGGGGTCAACTTAATGGAAGGTATGGAAGTTGAAAACCTAGTATAAAGTCAATGGCATGTTGAATGACTCTTATTTAAAGTAACTAATCAAGAGCAATGTCAAAAAGCTCGGTCAGATGATGATGATGATGATGATGTCATGACATTCATGGCTGATGTGAGGCACTAATCAAAGATCTTGTAACTATTATGCGCACGTACTAAATTTGTGTTACATCACTTGGTATTTCTATAAGACTAACACATTTTTTACCTATCTGATCTGGGACAAGACCCAATACTTTCACAGGCCCTAATAAAACCTGCATTATAAAATAAATAGAAGCCTCAAAAGCTCTGGCAACCAAACAGCATATCTTATTGGTTCAACAAGCTTGAGAGCCAAACCATGTCCTATGAGAGCAGTACAGGGGAAATTTTTGAAAGGAGAAAAATTGATAAATGTTTTAGGAATAGGAGCATGAAAATAATAAAATTTAAAAAGGAGCAGAAATCCAAACAGGGATCACGTTTTCTGAAGAAAACGCAAAGCAGGGTCGCATTTTATGAAGAAAATGCGATGGAGGATCGCGTTTTCTATAGAAAATGCGAAGGGGCTTTGCGTTTTTATTGAAAATGCGAAGCACGTTCGCGTTTTCTTCATCGCCGGACCCCTACATTCGAGAAATCAGGCGGATTTACGCGGACGTGGCTTAGTTTGGGGCTCGGACCCGGCGAGATTGATCACGGGATTGCTTTCCCGTGAATCAATAGTTGGCGCCTTAATAGTTCGTCCGTGGATCAATAGTTGCATACAGTCAAAGGAAAATTATTTTTTTAATGCTGCATCTTGGCTATAAATAGTGCGAAAATGGAGATTAAAATACTTGTTTGTTTGAAGTTGAGCTTAAGGGAACGGCTGAGTAAAAGAAGGTTAGTATATAAAATTTTTTTAAGATCTTTGAATATGCAATTTACAAAAATTTTTGCACATTTTTTAATTATTTTATATAAGTATCTGCATATTGTTAAAGTTTTTTTAAAAAATTTGTTGAAAATTTGATGTTCAAATATTGTTCAAATATTGTCATGAAAAATTTTGGGAGTATTGTTTAAGCAATAATGTTATAATTGAAATATTTTTATGTTTATGATTGTAATATTGTTCAAATCTTGTCATGAAAAATTTTTTAAAGCAAATAATAATGTTAGAATTGAAATTTTTTTGTATGTTTATGATTATCGTGCTTTTTTCCCCCTCAAGTTATGATTATCGTGCAATTTATGATTATGTTTCCCCCTCAAGGCATGAAGTGAAATTTTAACTAAATAAATAATTGAGAAAATGATTTTTTTTGTAGAGAGAGAGAGAGAGAGAGAATAAGAGTGGGAAGTTGAGTTACATATAAATATTAAACATTAAAATTTTCTATTTGTAAAATACCTATCTAGTTTTTTTGGAAAAAATAATATTCTTATAATTACTAATATTAAATATTAAACTTATATGTTTAGTTTAAAAATAAAAGATTAATCTCATATAATATTAAGATTGAAATAGTAATGTAATTTAATAAATAATTTTTTAAGATAATAAAAATTATATGGTTTAAAAATAAATATAGATGTAGAGAGGTAGAGAGAGTAAGAGATGAGGAAGAAAAAATTAAATAGATAGAGAGGTTGACAGAGAATAAGAGAGGGAGAGAAAGAGAGAGTAAGATAGGGAGAGATATGTGATAGATTAAAAATTTTCATAATATGAGATAGAGAATATAGAGGTAGAGAGATACAGAGATTTGGAGATAGATTAAGAGAGGAATAGAGAGTATATTAAAAATATAAATCGATATGATTTAATATGTAATTATTAAATGAAAATTATTTAAATAAGTATTTTAAAATTTTTAAAAATATAATAGAAAAAATAACATTTAGAAAAAAAATAATGTTTAACATAATTAAAAAAAATTGTTGGAGATATTACATATTTGAGATTAAATTATTGAAATATTAAATTCATAATACATAATAAAGGACTTATACATATATTAAAATTTGGTCATAAGAATTAAAACCATATATGTATCATTTAATATTTAATTTAATGTAAAATAGATAAATTAATATTTAAATGAATGATTGAATTAAGTAGAATTTTTGTTTCAAATATTCTGCCTTTGATTACTCAACTTAATAAGAACAAAAATATTAAAACTAAGCATATATTTGTAGAGATGTTTAGATTAAAAAACCGCCTCAAACAGATCCTAAATCTAGATCGTAATTACAATTAATTGGGGCAGATTTAAGCAGTGAATTAACTTAAGTTTCTATGCGCCCGAGCCAATACAACCGTATACATCGAAAGACAAAAAATTCTTAATTAAATAATTAAAAAATTTTACTAATCAAACTATAAACCTCAATTTATCCGGGCATTCATCCCACACACCTTCCTCAAATGGCCACTTAACATTAAAACTTAAATAGTTGTAATTAAGTTATAATTATTGATTAGATGCATCCAACACGCTATCTAGCTTTTAAGGTAAACTAAAACGCAGATGCTGTGGCAAAGTTAGAATAATACACTTCGTTTGACATAGTTTTATATGTGATGTACAAAAATAAAGATCAAATTGACCCAAAAAAAATTCATTAAAATATTTTGCATTAGATGAAAAATAAATCTATTGTTAATAATTAGAGAAAATATATTGCATGATCAAAGTGGTGCAATTTATTAACAATTAATGGTTTATTTTAAGATATTATTAGAGGGAGATAGATAGGGGTCGAGTTAGGACGTTATTTGAACAATACTCCCAAATTTTTTCATGACAATATTTGAACATCAAATTTTCAACAAATTTTCTAAAAAAACTTCAACAATATGCAGATACTTATATAAAATAATTCAAAAATGTGCAAAAAATTTTGTAACTTGCATATTCAAAGATCTTAAAAAAACTTTATATACTAACCTTCTTTTACTCAGCCGTTCCCTTAAGCTCAACTTCAAACAAACAAGCATTTTAATCCCCATTTCCGCACTATTTATAGCCAAGATGCAGCATTAAAAAAATAATTTTCCTTTGGCTGCATGCAACTATTGATCCACGGACGAACTATTAAGGCGCCAACTATTGATTCACGGGAAAGCAATCCCGTGATCAATCTCACCGGGTCCGCGCCCCAAACTAAGCCACGTCCGCGTAAATCCGCCTGATTTCTCGCGTGTAGGGGTCCGGCGATGAAGAAAACGTGAACATGCTTCGCATTTTCAATAAAAACGCAAAGCCCCTTCGCATTTTCTATAGAAAACGCGATCCTCCATCACATTTTCTTCATAAAATGCCATCCTGTTTGCGTTTTCTTCAGAAAACGTGATCCATGTTCGCATTTCTGCTCCTTTTTAAATTTTAATATTTTCATGCTCCTATTCCTAAAATATTTATCAATTTTGCTCCTTTCAAAAATTTCCCCGAGCAGTACACTCATTTTCTTCAAGACTTCAGATGCCGTAGAGCACATGCACAGAAATGCAATAAATGGAATTCTGCTCAAGTTATGTGCTCATAATCACACTCTGATGTGTGTTTTCAAGGTGAGAAATTGAAACCTTTGGCACTATATTATCTAAATTTCTTATAAGGAGTAGAAGCTTAAGGCAACATTTAAGATTGTACAAAAGGTAACAATTCTTATATCAACCTAACATTAATAACAAGTAGAGTTACAAAAAAATAATAAAAACAAAAATTGCCAATCATTTTTCCAACTTTATCCAACATATACTATCAATATGTGGATGACATGCTTTTTTGTTGGTATTGAATAAAAGATAGTATTCTAGTAAATTCGAGATGTAGGTTTGCTGGGCCAATGAGATACAACATTCTACATTTCTTTTTTATCACAGTAATAGTTGTATCATGGATATACAATGGTCAAATCAAGAACTGAAAGAAAGTTTGTCGAATAGAAACTAGATTCTTGTTTTGTATGAATTCGAAGTTATCAACATAACAATTATGATGAGTTCGAAGTTATCAACATAACAATTATGTTTCGTGTATCACAGTAATCTTTTCAAGAAAGTTCACCATAACGCAATTAGTTACCTGTTTGCCAATAAGTTCACCATTTTTGTAAGCAACAAGACCATTTTCAGCAAAGACATAATCATAGTCACTGATAACTGCACAACAAGACGTGTCTTAGACCTAGAATGACAGTATATCAGAAAGATCTACTTCAAAATGTCATAGCTACAGGAAAACACAAATTAAACAAATGAAAATGTCAGGGCTACAGGAAACCACAAATTAAACAAAAATTATGATATCAACTTCAGAACTATATCAAATAGTCCAAATCAGATAAGTAAATGCTCAGTAAGCACGCTACCATCGTACTCATGAGAGATGATACGTCAGGTTTACAATGAGTTGAATGGACCCTTTCCATATCAAGAAACGATTATATCTCTGACAATATCTGCAGCAATTTAGTAGTAACTTTTCCTTTAAGGTTAGGCCAGTTAATAGATTGACCTCATGAATATGTCTAAGTTTGAATACGAACCTCTTGAATGGGAATCTATTGCATAACTACTGGGCTACTAGGAGCTCGACTTGTAAGGAAATCCTACTATATTAATCAATTTGATGTATGTGGGACATTTTGTTGCCAGACATGTCAAACGCTCTATACACAATATGATTATTTGAATTTTTCTAAAAAAATAAAAATTACTGGTCACAAGATTCACTTCCACTCCGTTATAGGATATATAGATTTATTTGTTGCATAATGAAGGTAAAAGACATAAGATTTCCTAGGTACTTGGTCTCCAGGGATTTCTTCTCATTTCCCAAAACAATATCATGATAAAAAGGTTGTCAATAGTGAGCAGTCAATAGGGCTATTCTCTACAAGGGGTGAGGCTTATGTACCAGCGGAGATTTGTGATGCCCAGGACATCAATCCATATTCCACACCTGCTCCAGGAGTTCCATGGGAGTGTTGTTGGGCGTCATTCTAGGATGCAGAAGACTTACAAGAGACTTGCCGCAAAGTTGTATTGGAAGGGGATGCACAAGATGTGGAGAAGTTGGTAGCCAGTTGTGAGATATGACAGAGGAACAAGTACATGGTCATAGCTCCAGGAGGATTATTGTAGCCCTTAGCTTTACCAAATTGGGTATAGGAGGTCTCCATGGATTTTATAGATGGGTTAATCTAATCTGAATGGTTCACAGTGATCCTAGTGGTAGTAGACAGATTGAGCAAATATGCTCATTTCATTCCCCTGCGACACCCCTACACGGCAATGACAGTGGCATCAGTTTTCATCAAGGAGGTGGTCAAACTGCATGGGATATCGGAGTCTATAGTATCTGATAGGGATAAGGTGTTCCTTAACTATTTTTAGATGGAGTTATTTAGACTACAAGGGATAATATGAGGAGCACCACCTACTACCCGCAGACAGACAGGCAAACGAAGGTGGTGGTAAACAGGAACTTCAAGACATATCTAAGATGTTTTGTGTTAGAAACACCTCGACTTTGAGCCAAGTGGTTAGCATGGGCAGAGTATTGTTACAACACTTCGTATCATTCTACTTCTCAGATTACTCATTCAAAATGTTGTACGGACGAGATAAACCTCACATGGTGCATTTTGGGCAAAGTAGCACTCCAGTTTCTTCAGTAGAAGAATACTTGGAGTAGAGGGGCAGAGTGTTAGAAAATTTGAAGAGGCATATGTTGAGGGCTCAGCAGATTATGAAGAAACTGGCAAATGGGCATAGGAAGGACATCCAGTTTGAGGTAGGGGAGAGGGTGTTCTTAATGTTACGGCCTTACAGGCAAAGGATAGTCATCAACAGGAGAAATGAGAAGCTTGCCCCAAGGTACTTTGGGCCATATGAGATATTGGAGAGGATTGAAGCAGTAGCATATCGACAGATAGTACCATCGACAAAGACTATACATCCCATGTTCCATGTGTCAAAATTGAGAAGAGCAATTGGAGATCATGCAGCTAGTTCTGAGTCACCGGTGACACTAACAGAGGACTTAGAGATGGTATAGAACAACTGGAGTTGATGGGGGTTCACCAGCGAGAAAAGGGAACTAAGGAGATTCTGATTAAATGGAAGAGCCTACCGGACTACGACACTATATGGAGCCATATGAGAGAGTGAAGTATCAGTTCCCAACCTTTCACCTTGAGGAAAAGTGATTCTTTGGGAGGGGGATATTGTTAGACCAGTCCAGCAGCCTTAGGCAAGGGGCCGGCTCAATTTTATTCAAGGCGGACGAAGGTGCCCTTGGTATAGCCGACCCCATAGGAGGGTCCACTATTTGAATCTTGGAGGGAAAGGAGGGGACGGCTAGGGCAAATTAAGCAAGGGCTATTTAGTCTTTTGGAGTGGGGTTATTGTGTTTGCTTTAAATTAGGTTTTGAATTAGTGTAAGGGTTTTTTCATTTGGATTATTGCTGATTTTTGTTTTGGTAATTGACATTTTGGGGCTCTAGCAAAGGGTTTTTTCATTTGGATTATTGCTGATTTTTGTTTTGGTGCTTGACATTTTGGGGCTCTAGCAATGTATAGAGAATTGGGAGAGATTGATCCTTCTCTCGAATAGAGGATCAATTGTATCTTGGTATTTTCATTCCACCTTGATCAATTAATACAATATATCTATTGTTTTCTGGTTTTGTTTGGAGTTGTGTAAAGATTTCTCGCTAATTTTCAAAGATTGATAAGTTTCACTTGAAATCTACAAGCATTTCCTACAATAAAACTCCCACAAAATATGTTTATGATTAAATAATATCTTCACCAAGCATGATTATTATAAATATTATGAGAAAAATTATACAATTTGGAATGACGTTTAAAAAAACTTCGCAGATGGCAAAGCATTGTTATGTTGTATGCATTGATATTGCGGAAGAGCTAACCTGACTTCCCAAGTTGTTCTGATATTTTAACCAGATCAGACCCTCCAACGACACCAACTGTAACTACCTGCCATACATAAATGCAATGAAAAGATGCATGAAATATTTTTAAATTTTCAAGAAGCTTGAGTACAATAACTAACAAATTCAAAGAAGGATTTTAAAAAGTTAATGGTTTACCTTTCGTAGGTCTTGCATAAATTGTAGCATCTTCGGAGTTATAGCCTATGAAAAATGAAACACTGATCAAAGAAATGTTCGAATGATATTCAAAAAGTACATTATTGAATTAGAAAAATATCTCATATTTTAACACCAAGGAAAGCTCTAAAGCTAAAAACCAATCCAATGGCTTTACCTAGGACCTGATTTCTAATAAGATGATAAAACGTCAAGCTAAGTTTAAGAGCAAGAGCCACACGTAAAATGTGTTCTCCCAGAAGACTAAAAAATCATGGCCTAAACAGCAAACTAGAAGGTCAACATTGCAAAATCCACATTCCAGCAAACTAGAAGGTCAACACTACAAAATCCACATTTGAAATCTTGGGCATATTAGTGTTCCCCGCAAATAGAAAGCAAAAATTAGTAAGTAAAAACCATTATACCTTTCTGGGAGCCGTGAGTGTACCATCTACATCAAACAGCACAATAAGCCCTGGCATCCTCCCAGTCATTCTGTCTCTGCAATCATTTCATCAAAAACAAAAGCTAAGTGAAAACAGACTAATCATCAGAAGAGGGCTCACTGGCACTCCAAATTATCCCATATAAACTCTCTTATAACTAAAATTAATTTCACGTAAAAGATCTTCAAAATATTGCACTTCCCCACGCCTTATTTGACCAGAGGATTTTACCCTCACAAGGAAAAAATAATAATGGGATACAAAGTCACACTTTGAACACTCAAAAAAGTCAACTACTTATCCTCACGCCTCTCAATGTGATGAAGGAGAGGGCTAAGGAGCAGTCCTTTCTTAAGACAAATTAAGTTTTGTTTTAATCATATTTTTGTAAATTTAGGTCAGGTCATATTTAGAGATGAGATAGATTAGAATTTATTTAGATATGAGATTGAGACTATAAATAGGCATGAGCCCCCATAATTAACAAACTCTATTGCTTACGAGAGATCACTCTTGATTAACGATGTTACTTGAGCTCAAATATTTAGGCTTGGACGCAACATTTAAGTTTAAAGTTAACGGATGGGGAATCGAGACAAACTAGACCTGATTAAGATCTCACATTTATGTCATCCTGGGTATACCGGTTAACCCAACCTACCAATGTCAGATAATTCTAGGCCATAAAGCATAGGAAGCTTGATTAGCAATTACGAGTTTCCTTCATTCGGGTATCTCAAGTAAACAAAGGTTTTGTGCATGAAAAAGATGTGATTTTCACGTTTGACATAGCTCATTCACCAACATAGGATTGGTCATAGCATTCTTCACTAAATAGTTCAAAGGCACACAGTCTATGATGCACAGACACAGACACGGCGACACGGATACGACATGACACGGACACGGGACACATCAGCTATTGAAAATATAGGACACGGACACAGGTTGGACACGGTATTATAGTTTTTATATTTAAAAAATAGTGTATAAAAATTAAATAAGTATAATTTTAAAAATAATAAGTCAAAATAACTAGAATTTATGCTTAAAATGATTAGTATTAGGATGTCGAGAGTCAGGCGTCGATGCCGTTTAACAGTCACCGAGAGAGGAGTTGAAAATACCTTCACTATCAAAAGAAATGAAAATGAAAATATTCGATGATTGGGTATTAAGTGCGGACGTTGATTTTGTGTTGTGGATAAAAAATAAGAAATTTAGTTTAGATTCTGTCAATTACAAGAAATTATATTTAAAAAAATTCATAAAATATTTAAGATACGCATGTTCGACACGTGTCGAAGGAGTGTCGTGTCGGATACGGCGTCAAACACTGCACGTCTCTTTGAGGAGAAGTGTCGATATGATCATTTGTGTTTCAAAAGCATTAGACGTGACTAACAAGAACTTAGAGGCATAATATGAACAGTAATTATACATTAGTTTCAGTTTAGCACACAAAAGCGTGTCTAACACACATATGGAGTTTTAGTTGATGGGTTTAAATTTGATCGATGGGATTATCATTATAAGAGCTAATCAAAATTTAATTTGGGTTGGGGCTTCAATCCATTGTAAGGCTTGAATTTGAACTTGCCTTTATCTAATAGATTGGCTTTTGCGTATGCCTGATTAATTAGGTCATGTAGACAAGTTTTAAGCTGGCTCTGTTAATTGGGCTAGGGCTTACTAAGGAAAGCCCAATTTTAGATTTTAATTGTTATGTAGTGTGTTTCAATATACATATTGAGACAATTCAGTATGACCCTGAGATCAACTAGGAGTCAATAAGATTAAACCTAGGTCTTTGACATATTTGTTTGAACAATTGGGTTGATATTATAAACATCTAAAATTCTAAATGTGCAGTAGGATGCTTTGTATAAATCAATGTACTTGGTGTGGACAACAATGCAATAATATGACTGAAGGTTATTATATTATATCTATGAACATCTAGGATGTCTACATGAATGCTTTGATGTATTGAAGCATCTTTCAATGTGAATTCAAATGTATAAAACAATTGGAAGTTTTAAGAAACACTCTTTTTAAGTTAAGTTGATGATAATTTATGATAATTTAAAACTTTATATGATTCAAACACTATTACTTATTAATTTCCTTTTAGGACTCATAGATAAAAACAGTCTGTTGACAACTTCCTTTCTAACTAAAATAGGGAGTGGATAAAAAGAAATGTGAGATCATGAGGGAGAGTGCGAGAGGGAGGGTGTCCACTCCTAAGGAGTGAGGTGAGGGAGAGAGGGGAGCATGAGAGATGGAAAGAGAATGATAGAAGACATCTACGTAAAAAAGAAGAGATAGAGAGAGAGAGAAATCCATTGTGGGAGTTATTGTGTTGTTGACATCAAAGCAGTATATATATATATATATGTTAAAAAGTCATCTAGGCAGGTATTGTGAGGTTGGGGTCATGCTAATTAGTTTTCACAAGCATAAGAGTGAGCTCATCAATGTTGTCTTCATTCTCAAGGAGTGAACAATTTGGAATGAGAGCATCAAAAAGGAAACCCCCTCCCAAACCTAAAGAATTTTGAGTGTTGTAGCAAGGAGAAACTATTACGTGAGGAGTCCGGATGATAGAACCATCTAGATTTGCTGATTATTATAAATACTCAGTAAATGAGTAAATACTCAATAAATACTCAGCAAAATAATTACAAAATCTATGAGAATACTCAGCAAATACTCAGTAAATACTCACAACTGAATATTTGTTAAGTATTTGTTGAGTATTTCAACTGCTCTCTCGTCTAGACTTCGCATGTAATAATTTCTCTGTAGCAATGAGTCCTAACATTATAAAAGTAGTTGGCAATCATTCACTTGTAGAGTAGGCGCAATAAATTGTCTTTTTTAAGTGTGGGGACCATAATTTGTGAGTAAAAAAGGTGTGTCACATGGCATCACCGGAGCGAATGGCCATGAAGTTGAGAAGCTTTTTACAGCCAAAAGAAGATATCTTTAAGATTTGAGGGATGAATCCAATCAGGTATGGAGGAAATTAGAAAGATGCGTCGGGAGATGTTCTGGTCAGATACATATTATGATATTATTAAGCTTAACTTGAGTCAAAATAGGCGACAAGTGTTCTGTAGCTAATCGATTGACCGAACCTCGAGCTGATCCGTATTTAGAGGCTGGATAGTTCTGGCTAGATGTCATGTAGCCATCTTCTAAACCTAATTGGAATTCGGTCAACTAAAGAGCAGACTGATCGAATCAAAATTCAAAATTCTTGTAGCACGTGGATGACAAAGATGGATTATAAGAAATGAGGCATTAAACTTACCCCTTGATTTTGAAACCTAAATTTTAGGTGCTTTGAAATGAAATTAGAACACCTTTTGAGTGAGAAATCTTCTTCTTCTTCTATGTATTTATGTGAGAGCTAATTTCCTTTGTTGATCCATAGAGAGATGGTAGCGGGCAGCCTTGAAAAGTTTGAACCAGCACTCAGGATGAAGTGGAAAATCAAGAAGGAAAAGGAAGCAAAAGCTGCGGTTAAGGCAATTACAAAGGAGGCTATGACGGAGGAGGCAAGAGGAAGTTGCAATGAAGGAGACAGCCGAGGAAAGATGAGTCGGGAGGAGTACCGTGCGCCCGGACGTAGCTGTGCAAAAATCTGTCTTCCGTGGAAAATATTCGGCGCTGAAACTGTAGCGGCGGCGACGCGCATCCATCAGCAGTGACTGGATGGAAACGGCGCACCGTAACGTGAAGCGAAGATTGGGTGCAATTAAAGAAAAAAAAAAATCATAAAGCCCAGTCTAGTTTCTATCAAAAATAAACCCCAATTTTCTCACATATTCGCTGTTGCAGATAGCTCAGAAACCCGAATAGAAGCAGCTACAATGACATTCTTACCGAAAAATACCTCGTGAGCAAATGCGACTCCCGTCGGAGGATCGGAAAACCTACTAAGGCTCACCTTAGTACGGTGGCCAGGGGCGGCAACGCGTAGAAAGATCTCTGCAATGAGAGGAAACGTCGTAGGTCGCCATCGCCGTGAGAAAAGAGAATATATTATGTTGCCGATCCAGAGCTCTGGTGACCTCGGATTCCTACAGGCGCCCACGTTGGATGCTTTCAACGGGACCATACGCATGTGAACAGAGACGACCATGAATCATGGAGCTGTATAATGATTTTGTTCCATATTTATCGCAAGTGTAAATGTTATGTAAAAAGAATATTGTGAAGTTTTTTGAACGAGTATGTAAATGTATGTATTTTTTTTTTAGTAAAAAGAAAATAATAGAAAGTTTAAAAATGACAGAGGTGGGTGGTGGTGGTCGACAGTTGCGGTGAACAGCGACAGGTGCTAGTTGCCGACAACCATTGGGGGAGGTGGGTAGAGGGCAATGTGGGTCTTTGAAAGAGAAACTGCAAGCATTGGTTAAAATGCAAAGGATGTGATCGCATTATCTTGTAGGATAAAACAATTATAAGCCTTTACACTTTATGTAAGTATACCAATAAAAAAGCATATATAATTATATATACGTTATCCATAAAAATATAATAACTTCCGCTTACGCATCTTGATCTATATATATCTAAATTACTAAGGAATGTGTAAAACACCATTTTAAAACATTTATCGAACTATAACGTTATCCGCCCAGAATATTTTTTGTTTGATTAAAACCATAAGACTTCAAATTAGATGGTATAAAATTTTCATAAAATATTCAAAATGTTCATAATTTGATTCCTATAATGCATGTTTTTGTGGATATAAGCCATTTTCTGGTGCATACGTACATGTTATGGTATTGTAACCACAAAAGAGAGTCATAAGGGATCATAATTTTTTAAGATTATGTTTGTATCCGAGAAAATAGAAAACTCATATGAATTATTCTATTTTACTCTGTGATATGAATTTCAGTTTATTAAACTATTCAATATTATCATTTGAATCTTTGAATAACTATTATTCTCTTATTACTACACAATGATTTATTATACTGCATTTAACTACTTTAAATATTCTAAAAATATTTAATAAAAGAAATATTTAGAAATTTAGATCGATACTTATGTTATGCTAAGCTGTTGTAGTTCACTATGATTTTGCTTCTGATTTTTAGAATCTGGTAAAGGGAATAAGCCTATTGATTAACAATTTTTGAATTGGGTCTATTTTTGTATGTATTTTTATGTTTTAATTTTTATATAGTCATGACTAGTTCTTAAATTATTTGTTTTGTTTTTTACTTTTTAGACATATACAGTAGAAATTTCAAGTAGACATATATTGTAATGTAGATCATGTTTATACATTTTAATGAAATGAAAGAAATTATGTAGATAAGTTTATTTCCAGTATTCTAGATATTTTAGTAACTCTATAGTCTGTTGTTGTTTAAAATATATATTGCAAGAGAAACTACAATCGTTAAAAAATTAGATCTTAGGATTTGTCTGTTTAACTCAACACGATATGAATCTTGTTGGGTTAAGTTGTAGCACTTTTGACTCTATAGTTTAACGAACGATATCCTTTCCCCTATCAATACCAAAGCTTGAACTCAAAGCCATGTGAGACTTTGATCGACGTCCTCTCCTCTCGGCGTTGAATTATGAGGTCCTCTATCGTATTTTGATCATGTGCTCACAACTTGCTTCTAGATTTATGGTTTTATGCTCAGTTGAACAAAATAGATATGTAGTAAATACTAAGTAATTAAAGGGAATGGATATGAATCCGCAAATTAACAGTCATCAACTATAAGTTCATTATAGATGGAAAGAATATTAATAAAAGTAGGGGTGCATGTATATATTGGACACGATCTGAAAACTCGACATGAAAATTTTGGGTTCGGGTCAACCCGAACCCGAAACGGGTTAGGTTCAAGTCCTGAATTTTGAGCAGTTTCAAATTCTGGGTTGGGTTCGGGTTGACCTGGAAACCCTATAATGATCCGGTTTTGACTCGGATCGGCGTATTTATGGGATTTAGCCAAAGAAGCGCATGAAACAGAGAAAGTTCTTCACAACGAGCGAACTCCTATAGTTGCTTTCGATCAAAATCTTGTAACTTACGATGCCACTGGAAGGAAACGTCATCCAAGGAGCAAAGTCACTCGAATAGCAAAGACCTTCACAGCGAGCAAACTCTCGTCGTCGCTTACGATCAAAATGTTGTAACTTCCAATCCGACAGGAAGAGAATGTCGTCCAAGGAGCGAAGTCAAACAACAACGAAGGAGCTGGCAAGGCAACAAGAGAACAACGAATTCCCGTAGTTGCTACGTTGCTTCCGATCAAAATTTTGTAACTTCTGATCCGACGGAAAGAGAACATCATCCAAGGAGCGAAGTCGAACAGCAACAAAGGAGCTGGTGAGGTAGCGAGCGAACTCCAGCCGTTACTTTGGTGCTTGCAATCAAAATGTTTTAACTTCCGATTCGACAGGAAGAGAACATCATCCAAGAAGTGAAGTTGAATAGTAATGAAGGTGCTGGCGAGGCAGCGAGCGAACTCTTGTCGTTGCTTCAGTGATTCTGATCAAAATGTTGTAACTTCTGATCCGGCGGGAAGACAATGTCGTCCAAGGAGTGAAATCGAACAACAACGAAGGAGCTGGCGAGGCAGCGAGCGAGCTCCTTGTCATTGCTTCGGCTGATCAAAATGTTGTAACTTCCGATCTGACTGGAAGAGAACGTCATCCAAGGAGCGAACATTGAAGTCAACCAGAAACGAAGGGGACTCACTTAACGAGTCGGGTTTGGGTCCGAAAAATGGACCCATTTGCAAAAACAGGTTGGGTCAACACAATTCCGGGTCAGTTTCAGGCTGTACCCGAATCCGACCCCTAACCCGATTTTGACAACCCTAAATAAAAGAATTTCTAAATAATATTTAATTTAAAATTTCTTTTATATGTCTCCGTTTGATGTCTTGGGATTCCTATGAGAAATGACATGACATACTCCATTTGATGGTGAGAGGTAAGCTATTTGATGTGTCCATAGTCGTTTAATTATTCACATAAGGTTTTTATTTTGATGGAATATCAGCTAATGAAATATTTGTCTTGTTTGATATTGATTAATTAATAACATGATTGTAAAATCTTGAGATCAATGCTTTATTGGAAGCATTCCTTGAGATAAGTGCATCTATTGTTAGCAATTTTTTAATTTTTATTACAAGAGTTCTTGATATTCAAATCTTTATTATTTATATATTATACTCATTTTAAAATAAATATTTGATTAAGAAATTTTAGTACAACATTTTTTTTAAAATAGAACTCAAATGCATAAGGGAGATACTCTCAACCAATAAGAAAGAATTTTAGAAATTCATCCATTATTGGTTGGGAGTATCTCAAATCGGACGGTTGCAATTAAACAAAGGCATCTTAAATCGAACATCCATAAAACCTTCCCACGGATTGTTGACTCAGCCGACTATTGTAAGAAACTCTAAACCTCCTATAAATTCACCCATATTCCCAATTCTAACCCAAATACATAATCTCGATCGAAGAAGAAAATACATCCATAAAACCTACCCACCATCCTGTACAGGTCAAATCAATCTCCAACCAACGGTTCAACCAGTCTTTACTTGTCTTTCAGTAACATAACAGTAATTTCAATCATATATCCACATTCATATACATCTCATGAATACATTGCAACCAATAAACACAATTTAACTCACTCGAAGAAAATCTCTTAAAATATCGTATAGTAGACAGAAGTCGTTATAAAATGCACAGTTTCAGAAAATTACCAAATTACTAGAAATCGTGTAAAACAGCGTTTCAAGACTTTACTTGTACTGAATCAATATTTTACAACATTCGGATAATTTTCTATTCAATGAAAATTGCACATAACTCAAAATATCCGGTAAAAACTTTTTCAGAAATACTCAAATCGTGCAAAATCATCATTTCTACAACATACCAAATGTTACGCGGTAAAAGTTTCGTCAATACAAAGATATTCACATTTTTCGATAACGGATTGGAAAAAGGCAGGGCTAAGAGGCATCTCAAGGTTCTCCGCAACAACATTCAGACGTCACCAAGCCAGAGATCCGCCGCTTCTCATCACGGCAGCGTTAAGAGGATCAGTGGGCTCATTTCTGGGGAGACTGTCAGTGTTCTAATGATCTTTCTCAAGAACATTATTTCTTACTGATTTTTAAAGTAGGTTTTTAATACAAATGAAGCCTTTGTCCCATTTTAAACCTCAACACAAATCTTACAAGCAAAAATAAATTTATTCTACAAGTACTATTATATATTGTTTGAGAGGTCGAGATTTTTTAATAATAGCATAATCATTTCTCTAGCAAATATTCTTGGAAATGGAGGACCAAAATAAATAAGATCCCAATGTTTACAATAATGTAAGCCATTTAAAATTTTAACAAAAAAATTATGTTCTAAGACAATTTTCACACATAATCATATGAAAACTTCATTTCTTTGGGATAGTAACTATAAAGTATAGGCAATATAACTGATACGGAATCACAAAATTAGCTTGAGGGGGCACGAATCTCGAGGCAAAAGCTAGTTGGAAACTTCAAAAATTAATTCAGGGAGAACCCAAACTCCGATTTCAGCAAGCTTATAGTCAAACTGAGCGTCTCGGAAAGACGAATACAACGACACCAAGATCAACCCAATCCGAGCCCAATTAAGTCCGAATCAAGGACCCGAAGCGCTGTTGGAAGGTTCAAACCGCAATTTGAGTTACCAAACGGTCTCCGATTTTGACGAGCTTATACTCTAATCGAACGGCTCGACAAGACAAATCCAACGAGCCCAAGTTTGCCGAATTCCAACATCATTAAGGCTTTCAAATGCCCAACGAACGGTGCATGATCAAAGGATTCGATATCGGCCGTCCATTCAAAACACTCCCAATTCGCCCCTGATCTCACGCCTATTTACGGGCTATGTCACTCCAGAAAAACTACAAATAGAGCCCTCATTCTACACCAAAGGGACTGAAGGGAAGAGAGAGAAGAAGAAGAGAAGGATGAGAAGGAAGAAGCTCCTCCTCGACCACCGCCGGAGCTCTTCCTGCCGCCTGAAGACGCCGGAACTCTGCTGAATTTTCAGGAAACGCCGGGAATTTGCAGAACTTTGTAACTTTGTGAGAAGTTGATTGTAAACTAATCGTCTTGATTTGTAAGACGGATCAACATTTGTACTTCATACAAACATTAGTGGAACTTTACAACTGGGCGAGACCCCGCTATTTTTTCCCTTTTTGGGTTTTCCACGTAAAAACTCTAGTGTACATTTCTCTTTTCTTTTTGTGTGCGGAATAATCGTGCAACGCTAGGACGCAAATTTATAAACTCTACCGCCGCGTATATTCTAACACACAATAGAACTAATCTCATGTCTGATTTAAAAAAACAAAAAACTCTGCTTAAAATTATACCTAATAAGAAAGAATTCTATAGGTACAATTTATGATTAGAATTATTGCGCAATAATATAGATCCCTAAGCTCATTAAAAAAATTATCTATCTACTCTTTCATTAATCCAATGAACATTGATTTCATCTTTATAATTATTATTTCTTTGCATTATAACTGTTTAAATGTATTATTCATTTCATTAAATTATTGTACTATATGCTCTTGAATTATATCTTTTATATTCTATTTGTGTACTATCCAACTTACATCATTCTCTATTTTGTTATAATTATAATTATATTGCTTGAATTGTACTTTATTTATATTATTATAATTGTTATGATCAATGCTTTTAAAATCGGATCGGATCGACCGGTTCAACCTGTTGAATCGCAAACCGGCCGGCCGGCCGGTTACGGTTCTCTTGAGGATCGTTTTCGCGTCGAACCGGCCTCTGACCGTTCGAACCGCCAGTCCGACAGTCGAACCGGAAAACCGGCTCCGATGTTTAAATGCACTATTCATTTCATTAAATTATTGTACTATAGGCTCTTGCATTATATCTTTTATATTCTATTTGTGTGCTATATATCCGACTTACATTATACTATTTTGTTATAACTATAATTATATTGCTTGAATTGCACTTTATTTACCTAACTTTATTTATTATATTATAATTGTTTTGATTTTACTTACTTTAAAAAATTAATAATATTTATTTAGAAATATAAGGCTGATTTGATTGAAAATGTTTATTTAGGAAAAAATAATTGATTTAATTAAACAGAAGTTTAAAAGGTTTATTTAAAGAAAATGTTATGATTTGATTGGAAACAAATTAGGAAGATTTATTGTATTCAAATTTAAGAGGAAATTAAAAGCTTATTTAGGATTAATTATGTCATTTTATTTTCATTATGTGATTGTATTTTTAATAATTTTATTTGGAGTTATTCATTGTGATGCCTAGGATTTTTCGAGAACTATCTATTTTGATTTGTCGTGCCTTTATCAAAGAGAATTAACCCATAATCTCTTCCTTTCTTGCTAATTTCTGCTACGTTTTTTCCTTTGGTGTTTTTTTTTTTTTTTTTTTTTTTTTTTTTTTTTTTTTTTTGTGACGAGATCGAATTCCTATCAAGAACATGCTTACAAAATACTTAACCAATCAACATGAATGCCAAGTCTAAGAAATAATAAAGATATAGTTTTTGCACACTTTTGACATAAGGCTTCATTTGGGACAGCTTTCTTACTGCTTCTTAAAACAGCTTTTTAGCACAAAAATTAAAAATTGTGTACTATAAAGCTACTTTAAGAATCAGTAAAAAAACTATTCCAAACAAAACCTAAAAGAATCACGAAGAAAGCTTCCTTATAAAAAAAAATAAAATACAAAGTTTAAGAACTCATTTCGTTATGTACAATGAAAAATGCTTTGATGCTGCCAAATATATTGATATTTTGTATAACAAATAAGATTTTGCTGCATTGATGCACCCCACAAGACTAATGTTTATGGAAAGGATAAATGAAACAATTTAAAAAAAAAAAATTTGAACATATTTTCGAGTTTTCAAACTAAGAGCTTTCTGCATGGCTGAGTATGGAAGAAGATGGATCAATTTCTCTTCGTGAAACTTCCCATAGTTGTTGTTCGATGCCTAACTTCCTCAGCTCCACAAGTCCTCGCTCCACTGAAGATCAAGGGGAAATTTATATTAAATAAACAATGAAGAACTCAGAAAGATCCCACATGAATGTTTTTCAAATGGGCACATTTGATTGCAGAGTAAATCCTTAAAAAGTTTTAAGACATTATCATCCACATATATCCTCAACCAATCCACCAACTTACTTTCTATAAAGTCATCCCAATTGAAGCCTAAGAATCACGAAGAAAGCTTCCTTAAAAAAGAGAAAATACAAAGTTTAGGAACTCATTTTGTTATGTACAATGAAAAATGCTTTGATGCTACCAAATATATTGATATTTTGTATAACAAATACGGATTTAGGTGCATTGATGCACCCCACAAGACTAATGTTTATGGAAAGGATAAATGAAACAATTTAAAAAAAAAAATTTTTGAACATATTTTCGAGTTTTCAAACTAAGAGCTTTCTGCATGGCTGAGTATGGAAGAAGATGGATCAATTTCTCTTCGTGAAACTTCCCATAGTTGTTGTTCGATGCCTAACTTCCTCAACTCCACAAGTCCTCGCTCCACTGAAGATCAAGGGGAAATTTATATTAAATAAACAATGAAGAACTCAGAAAGATCCCACATGAATGTTTTTCAAATGGGCACATTTGATTGCAGAGTAAATCCTTAAAAAGTTTTAAGACATTATCATCCACATATATCCTCAACCAATCCACCAACGCACTTTCTATTGATTTTAAGCTTCGTTTGGTATGGCTTTCTTAATGCTTCTTAAAGCATTTTTTTAAGTAAAAAATTCTAAGAAATTACTTTAAGAATCAGTAAAAAAGTTGTCCCAAGCAAAGCCTGAGGCTTCGTTTAGGACAGCTTTTTTACTGCTGCTGCTTAAAATAATTTTTTTAGTACACAAATTATATTTTTTATAATGAAAAGTTGCTTTAAGAAGTAATAAGAAAACCGTCCCAAACGAGCTTTATTATTATTCTGTGCAGAGTGCAAAGGGCGTCCGGAGACCAATAAAAATGCGTCACGTCACCCTATTGTTGGGTAACCAGCTCAATACCCGCACTAGGTACTGTTGGGTACCCAGTGCTTAACCGGACGATTCTCCCGTCCGGTGTCCGTACAGAATAAAAGCTCCCCAAATGAAGTCTTAAACAACAACGGTCAGATCTTCTAAATGCCCTACACCAATTAATCATCATAAATTTTCAGCAGGGATGTGCTTTCTAGTCATATTTCTCTTGAAATGAGCATAAGTGCTTCGGATAGCACATATTATAAAATATTTACGAAAATCAGAAGACTTTCTAAGCTTCATGAAAGGTAATAAAGAAAAAACAATTTAATTTGCCACCAAAGTTAAGGTAGAAGCTTAAAGTACCATCGACAGCATCATGAGAAGTTGGTGATTGGCTCATGCGACTGAGCCAGAATTGCAGACGTTCTTCAGCAATGTCCTCTTCAACACCATGATTTTTAGCACGTCTCCAAAAATATGCAAGCCATGCCTGCAGAAAATAAATCATTTCTTATAGTTGCAACTCAAGTTTTACGGCGATAACAATAAAAAAATTTATGTAAAACAAGTGAAATTATTCTATGCGGATACGGACGCCGTTAGGAGGCAAATCAAAGCACGCCACATCACCCTTTCGTTGTGTACCGCGACTGTGTATCCGTTGTGTACCAGGTGATGTGGCGTGCTTTGATTCGCCTATGGATGATTCGATGTCCACACAATATAATTTCTCGTAAAACAAAGAGAAGTCACAATGGCCAATGTTTATTGCTGCGAAAAATCGATCTGGCAAACTTCTGGTCGACAATCACAGAACTCGGTTAAAAGCATCAAGTCGACTTTAAGGCTTCATTTAGGACGGTTTTCTTGTTGCTTCTTAAAGCAGTTTTCTAGTAAAAAATTAAAATTTGTGTACTAAAAAATTGTTTTAAGAAACAATAAGAAAACCGTCCCAAACGAAGCTGAAGTAAATTAGCTTAAGTAAATTTAAATATACGGGCACAAGAACATCTCAAAGTCAAACTTATCTTTGCATTCCTGAACAAAATTTAGTGATGCTGAACGATACCAGCACTCACTATAACCACCAAATTGAGTAAAGCAGTGCTTATTCTGTTTTTAGGGAATGTTGACCCAAATATCTCCATTTGGCTTCCAACATGCCCACTCCAACAGGAAAGCAAAATCCTCAAATCATTGAGGCAATCAACTACTATAAGTAGTAATTAGACTTCGTTTGGGTCGGCTTTCTTATTGCTTTTTAAAGCATATTTTTAGTATAAAAATTAATAAAAAATTTTATACTAAAAAACTGCTTTAAAAAATAATAAGAAAGCCGTCCCAAACAAAATCTTAATTTACTAAACCATAAATATAAAATGAAATTTCGTTCGTGTATCTCGTAATAGATCAGCGCACCCTTAAAAGAAGATAAAATGTGAAACCAAATAATACACAGGTCTAATTGTAATGTATAGTCTCTCATAATCTCATATAAAAGCAGTTTCGGTGATCTTTATCATTCCGAATTTCAGAAGTTGAAAGCATCGAAGGCATGTTCAGAAGTCAGATTGTCCGACTAGGAAACTAGAAACTTAAGTTCGGAACAAAGAACCCAATTCTACGCTGCAACAACATCCTAAATGCTTTCCTTTTGGAACATTAAAACATATCCAATGAACGCATATAAAATGACAAACCTGCTTGAAAAGGACATCTTCCGACTCTACTGGATTCAGTTCTGCAAGGAATAGGAAAAGCCCATTGGTCATAGCAGTGTTTTGAACATAACAATAAATATATTAGCCAACACAAATCACGCAAATCGAAATACACAAAAGTCTAACATCAGCAAAAAATAATCCATCTAATATGGAAAGCAAGGTTGAGGTATAAATCATTAAATCCTACGAAAATAAAAAGAGGATGTTTCTTACCAAAAGCTTCTAAGAATTTGGGATCCGCAGGAGATTTATAATCTGAATAAATATTAGAAAACCAGAAAAAACAATAGAGTATTAGTCAATGAAAGTAAATATTCGCAATCGTTCCAGGAAAAAAAGAAAGCATGATAATGAACGCAAAGTGAGTTGCATGCATGTTAGAGATAATAAAAAATCAAAATCATCACCATTATCATTAGTCCAATCCCAGCTATTTGGGCCAGCTTATACGCAAATTTATGTATGCATTTAACAAAATGACAAAAGGACAACCTAGACTAAAGCATTATTAATTATAAAACATACAACAAACAGACAATCTGATAAATAAGACGCCATTTATGTAGTTTTAATTTGTTAATTTATTAATTGTATAAAATATAAAATCAAAAGTTAAAAAATAATAAAAAATAAAAAAAAATAAAAAAACTTAATTTTGCATCTCTCAGATATCCATCCTCCAAATCTCTAAGATACATATTGAATAAAAGATTTCCCAGGTTTTGCCATGTTGTTGAAATAAAGGACTAGGCTTTATTTTGATTACATTTTATTAATTTTAATAATCAATTGATAACAACTTTGTTACATTAGAAACCAAAAAAGAATTACTTATCTTGCATCTCTTCACATTCCTAAATCCCTAATTTAAAAAACTGCAATTTAAGATTTCCCAAGCCTTCGGTCATATTGAGAGAAATGCATTAAGGTTTTTCTCAAATAAGTCCAGGCGTAAATTAATTTTTGTAGATTGTCCTTATTGTCTGGCATGAATCAGGAAATATCTCAAACCAAACACTTAAACAAAAAACAAGGACAAATATAAGATCCAAACTGTTTTGTAAGATTAACTTCTAGAAAAGAACTACTTATACAAACTCTACTCAAAAAACCGTAAAACTGATATACCATTTTTTAAACTAATTTTTTATAATCATTACAACAAGAAAATCCTTTTGAGAATGATGTCATTATCATGGGGATTTCTTGAAGTTGAGTTTCATAAAATTAAAATTAGACCGGCAATGCTTGTATGGATCTGACCGTTGGGTATTTATGCAAAATACGTTTAACACCTTATGCAACAAATAACTGGAGAACGGAAATTCATAGGGTTACGGAATGAACTAAAATATGAGAAATTACTGAAAGCAGGATATGGCGGACAGCATTTGATGCGATTTACGTATTAATATAAGATGGCAATATTTAAAACTTCCATAGAGAGGGGGCAATGCCAAAATCTATGAGATAGAGAAAGGCACCAACGATAAAGAATCAAGTTTGAACTTATAAATAAGGAAGCTATGTATAAAAAGAAAAGCTTAACATGCACCAGTCACGTATGTTAACATAAACCTGATGCAGATTGCCGAAGTAAACTTGGTCTTCCCCGTTGGCTAACTGCAAAGACTACGGCATCCTCAACCTTCAAATGAAATGTAAGCAACGATTATATTTAAACATGAAATATTGAAACTTGAAGCAGAACATGGAAGGATTTTACTTGCAGAGTACTTGAAAAGTGGACAAATATTTTAAATGACAAATAATTCATCAGGAGAAGGAAAAATTATAAAAAAGATGAGAAATAAATAAGCTCCAAAACGACAGGATTATAACAACCTTTAAAGAAGCAAGTTCTCTTAATCCCTTCTCAACAGATAACATGCTTTCAATGTTTCCTTCCCCAGTAATATCACTCAATTCACGTACAAGCTTGGTTCTTTCATTTTCATTGCCACCTAAACGAGAAAAATTTTCCAACATGATAAGTTTCCTAAGATCAATCAAAGGAAAATCAAATAAATAAAACTAACCGTGACTTCCATCCTCTTTAGCTTTTTGTCCCGCAGAAATGACAACTTCAAAAGGTAGAGGGGCTAGTGATGACCAATGCTCATGTTTGGAAACGGCTATCTCTAAATAGATTCCTTTTAGCAAAATAAAAGGCCATAATAGTAAGCTCAAGTTAAAATACAATGAATCTAACATAGAAAACTAGATAAAAGAGGTAGAACTGCAGAAGATCTCAAGCATTTTTTTTACAAATGCACTAAAGGGGTTTTGATAAAAATACCACAGCGGAGCATAATTCATTGCAAAACTTATGCTCATATTTAAAAAAAAATTGATCAAAACTATTTCAATTATTTTTTTTCTTCTTTTTTCAGGAATCGTCATCAATTAGCTTGAGATAAGAAAATAATATATGAAAAGTCTAAAAACAGTAACACAAATTGATAAGGTCACTCTTAAATAATTCAATTGTGGCATGGACATGAAAATAAAAATCTCAACATAATAGATAAACAAAATGATAGAGGGAAAAAATTACACCGCATACACTGCTTGGAGAGATCCATATACAAAAATAAAATTTCATTCATTGATAATAATAATAATAATAATCAAAATTATATCTAATAAGTCTCTATTTATATAAATAAAAGTACAAAGATAAAAGGCCTAGAATTTAAATCAGATTTAATCCTATCTTAAAACCAAGTCAAATCACATAAAAAGTTCAAGCTTAAACAAATTCAGAGTAGATAATTCAACCTGACAATTAAAAAAATAAAAAATTCAACCATGGTTAAATATGATTCTGAGAAAAGTTAAAATTTAATGTGATTCAACTCCTTCATGGCCCAATTTGACTTCTTTGGTCAGCCAATGTAATTTTGAAATTTTCAGGGCTGAAAAGGTTGATTTATATTGCATCAATTCTCTTAAACAATAAAAAAATATTCTACTGAAGAGTTTGGCTGAGACCCTGAAGGGGCATCATTGGACCATCTGATGGAAAAATGATCATGTATTGGAAGGAGCATCAAAGAAATAAAATCCACAAAATTGATAGATATTTTGAAGCTTACGTTCCAAACAATATAAGCTTATGAACCAAGATTTATGGATGACATTATTAGCAACAGTACAAAGTCAATCTCGAATAGATCTAACTGAAAGAAATTATAAACATTTGAAGACCCCGATGTCTCATGACACAAGAATAAATGATTTGGAGCAGAATTTTCAACAAAATTCTCAAGCTTTGGCACTTCATTGGAGAAAAGTTATGTTTTAATTTCAAATCATGGTGAACAAAATTTAATCTCGACAAGCACAAAAAGAACAAGTATTGCATTATCACTCAATCACTTTCTCTCGCCTCTCCTCCCCCTCCCCCACACTATTACAACCCAAATTCTTAATTATCGGAATATTGTCCGCTTTGGTTTAATGACCTCACAATTTTGTCATGTTGGTGTAACTTTTCAGGAGGTCACTCATCCTAGAATTGCTCCAACATGAGCAAACTTAATTTTGAAGTTTTTAATAAAACTCCAACCATTACACTAAAAGGCGTCTCAATGTTCAAAAATTTAATTTATTTCTCACAATCTCCCCCATTTAAGTAATTAATGTTCTAGTCAATATCCTTATCCTAGACTCATCCATCAGGCAAATAGGATTCTAGAGATGGCCCCTATAGGTTCATGTGATGGCTCCTATCACGTAGCACTTTGTCCCATATTGAGTTCAAGAGGTGACTCTCATGGCATAACACTTTGTCATGTATGATACTTAGTTCTCATCGTCAGACTGATGTATTGCCCTAATACCACTCCATAATAGCTCAAACTCTTAACCATTAAAGTATTGTTCGCTTTGGCCTAATAGCCTCACGGTTTTGTTCTGTTGGTATAACTCCTAGGAAATCACCCAAATCAAAATTGCTCCAGCACGAGTACGCTTAACTTTGGAGTTTCTTGATGAAATTTCAACAATTATAACAAAAGGCGCCTTAGTGTTTAAGAGTTAACTTGTTTTCTACTTTTTTCTACTTAAAGAGTTTCACCCTCTCCTCCGCTATAGAAATATACATATATAGAGAGAGATGCACATACACGTACAATTATAACATGATTCAATGGGGCAAAAGGGGAACATTTGACAATGTTACGACAAAAGACGTTGTCACAGTAAAAAAATGTCGTGTTGGAAATATCTTACCATACTGTACAGCCAAACCCCAATAGCGAGCAAGCCAACATCTCTTGAGAACAACCTCTTCCTAAGATATGAAACAGAAATCCCAAATTCAGTATTCTAGCCACTAATAAAAAGACAACAGGTTTCTGCACTAGCTAACGCTCATGTACAAACCATCTCTTCCTCTGTCAATATCATTCTCTGTGTCATCGAGCGGAGAGCTTTAGCTTCAGTCTCAGTTTCTCTCAACTGCTCTAAAGCAGAGGAAACCTCCTCTCTTGCAACCTAGTACAAAAATAGAAAAGCCAGGCTCAACTATTGCAACAAGCTGTGTGGAACTAAGAAATGTTGCATTTGCAAAAACTTGAAAGAATAAAAGAACAACAATTACCTCTACTTCTTGTCGTAGAGATGCTATTTCCTCATCCCTCCCATCCTTTGTCTCTCTGGCAGCTTTAAGAGCAGCCTGAAGCAACATGATCATGCAAAATAAGTTGTTTTCCCCAAAAAATGTAACTTACAGTCTAGAATAGAAACTAGAATTTTCATCAACTACCATACAACCATTGTGCGACCAATGTAGCAAGCCGAAGTTCAATTTGAAATATTTAACTAATATTTCCAAGAGAAAATTAATATTTATGTCCTCCCATATAAAAAAGTCTATAATACTTGCACTAGAGAGATAAAATTACAACTAATGATGAGTGCAAAGGCACATATTTGATGTGCCTTCATTTGAGCTTTGATGTATAAGTTGACACCATTTAATTGGAGAAAACAACTTGCAAATTTTTTTTATATGGGAAGGAAAAAAAAACATTATCTTTTTTTTTTTAAATGATGTAAGGTTACAGAAAAAGTTAGGATGACAATGCTTATTAAAAAAGCCAAATCTAGAGGAATTTCTTTATACTAGATCTCGAGAAAGGTTGACACAAATTAGATGGTAAATGTTTGCTCAAATTAGACAGCCCAAAATAAGAACCATCTTTTGTTCATCAGATCTAACATTAAGCTTCAACAGTCAAGGACATTTTCAAATCATCAGAAATCTATGAAACTAAGGTGAAGACCAAGAGCTTTACATATCTTTATGAACGATTAATTGTTAATTTGATGGAACCCAATTAAAATAAAATCTATGAAACAAAGGATTGTTTGAGAAAGTCACTAGAAATGACTTTGAATGAATTCAATTGGAAATCCCCCATCTCTCCTTTTTTTTTATATAATGAAGGCCCCAAAACTTGAGAAGAAAGAAGCAAACAGAAGAGTTTTTGGGGAGAGAATAGCTCATTTCAGTGAGATCAATCCACACAAGGGATGTGATGGGATTTCATTGATGCATAGGGTTGATAATGGATAATGTTTGGCCCCTCACCCCATGAGAATGCAGGTTGATGGGACCTTTACCCAGAACCAGATTTATTTCTCATCCTCTATTGTTGTTGTGATTGGGGTTATTAAATCAATCATAAGATTTAATGTTTGCATAAACAGCTCTTCTAATGTGAAACTACCGGGAGTTAACAAGAAATTAAGAAGAGCAATTGTTTAAAACTTCCCAATATAAACTATCGTTCACAACAAAAAAAGATTTTAGAAATTCATAGCTTTCAACTTGCTTAGGCAAAGAAGTACACTTTAGATTAACCAAGACAATTCAATCAAACTTCAAATACAAGAGTAAGTTTTATGAGCGCATGAAAAAAAATCCACAATTTAATAATGAGATATTCACATTGAGGTCCTTCTCACTCATTCACTCGTGGGGTTAGCGGAAAAAGATGCTCCACATTAGAAAAGAGATCACAACTAGGGAGAAGGAGCCTAAGAACTTCATTGATGGAAAGGTGGCCAGTGACGGATGGATTGGTGAACGTCCCACGATTATCCACGGTCCGGTTGGGAGGTGTTCCTCAATTGATGGTGCCAACGTGAAGATGATGCGGTCAATGTAGCCTTCCACGGAGTCGTCAACGTCCAAATTTAAATCAAAGAATGGAGATCGGAGGATGGCCGTCCTTCCTTGGTTATCATATATGAACCCTTGATCAGCGTCGGGATTGGCCATGCACTAGTGGAATGTTGGAAGAGAGGTTCTTGACTTCTTTTCTTGCAAGAGAGCTCATGAGATTTGGGGAATTCCAAGAGGAGGGTGGACAAGCAAGAGGGCCGGCCAAGTGTAGAGGGATTTAGGGTTATGTTAGGTCTAGGTTAGGGTTTTGGAAAGAGCATTAAATCTGAATTTAATTTCATATTTAATTAAATGGGGAGAGAATCCAATTTCAAATTCAAATAGGGATTAGGAGTTGATTAGGCAAGGGAGGGGTTTGACCATGAAGGGGGCCCGGCGGCATGTGGAGAGGGGGAGGGAATTTATGAGCTTCCTAATTTACTTCTTAAATTAGGGATGAAATAAAGATATCCAATTTAATTTAAAATTCAATCTAGAAACTTTCCTAATTTGGATTTTGACAATTTAGGAAATTATTTGAAAATTCAAATTTGAATTTCAAATCAAAAGGATTCTTTCCCAAATTATCTAGGGCTAAATTAAGAAGGTTATTATGATGATGAAAATCATCATTAAGAGGGAGACATGGATGGGGGAGGCCGGCGGCTAGCTTGGTGGTAGGGGAAGGGGACGGTGGGGTGAGGGTGTTTGGTGGATGTGAGGAAGGTGAGGTTTAGGTGGTCGTTGGGTACGGGGTGGGTTGGCCGGTGTGAGAAGCTAAGGGGAGGAAGAGAATAACAAAGAAACGAATTGCGAGCCCTGGAATCCACAGGCGACTGACGGGTGTTACAAGGCCCTCTCCTAGGGTTTCTTCTCTCAAGAACTCACAAAGAGATCAAACAAGAAAAGTTGAAATTTCATTCATAATCATCATCCTTTTACAATAGAAGAGGCCACAATATATAGGCCTAGAAAATAAAATAACAATGACTCAAATGCCCCTTGGGCTACAACTCAAGCAAACTCAAAAGAAAGGGTACAATCGTAATTAGCATATAAATAAAATACAATACATGAATGCATCAAAAATAAAAACTGTGAATCGTAACCATTGATCTATGATGCCTACGCTAATAGACTCGTCGATATCGTCTGTCGATGTCCTCATTATCTTCTGTGCTGAATTAAGCGGGGTAGTTTTAAGTATTTTGTCTCCAAGTCATAACCAAGTATGTCTGGAAAGCCCATGAACAAATCATCTACATTGAAGTCTTCTAACAACTTGTAAAATCAGCAGTTAAAAACTTAAAATCAATGCAAAAAGTTACTTCAAATTTGGAGTATGATACGGATGCATCTTTAGCAAAGGTTGTGGTTCTTAAGCATTTAAAAGAAAGAGATTTTCTAGGAGTAAATTAATAAGAGAAGAAAACCATACATCTCAAAATTCATTTAATTCCATGGATCTTCTTAAGGAGATGGAAGTTCTACGCAGCGTTGATTTTCAGAAGATCACAAAAGACTTGAACAAAATAAATTTGACTCCCTTCACAAGACCAAGTTACTCAAAAATCGATAGTATAGAGCAGCAACTATTTGCCTTTTGTTTAAAATAAAATTTTCAATTCCAAGATTATCACAATATCTTTAAGAAATCTAGTGCTAGCATATATGTGAAAATGGAAGGAGAAATGGACATTTTTTATGCATTATATACATTCATTGTTTGAGCATCTTATGACACTCTTATTATATGATAAATGAATAAAAAAATCATTTTGAATGATGCCAAGGCCTCTTTGTTGTATGACGAATTCTGGAAAAAGGCGAAGAGGAAAGCTCCTAATATGGGTATATTTTAAATAAGCAAAAGCAAACTAAAAGGCGAGGACAAAGTTAAAAAAAAAAAAACAAATTTTGGGATAGAGGGTGAAAGTCACAACGGAGGAAAATTGGACAAAGGAAGTGTGAACAGAAACTTCTGAAAATTCATAGGGTTGGGGAATCATAAGCAAATCAAGAAATGAGGAGCACCAAAAGTAACTGGTTTATAAATTTGGCAGTTCCTAGAAGTGTATTTTTTGTGTTACTCCTAAGCAATGATTGAATAATAGATTATGAAAGTTTTTTTATCATAAGAACCTAAATGAGCTTTGGTTTATCACCTATAGGTCAACTATGGTATAAAAGTTCCAGTATTGGATTAACTTGTATAATTGTTATGATAAAATCAGTTCAGATAGATATACATGATGGATCAACTAGAATTACAAGAGAGATCAAACTCATCCCAACCTTCAAGATTCTATCTTATCCCTCGTTTAGTTCGCACCTAATAAATATATAAACTTCAAGAAGGGAGAGTTACGTGTCATTCATTCATGCATATTTGTTATATGAATGGCTAGAATTTCAGTGATTTCTTTCTTCTAAAGATTGAAATTTTGAGATGTAACACTAATTTTTTCTTTGACATGATTGTATTGTAGAATATTAGACGTGAGCATATGATAGAACCGGGGTTTCTCAAAAGTAGATCACATCATATTAACTCTATGAAAACGAACCAAGGATTATACTTCTGGAACTGTATTTAGCTTACGCATCAACTCAGCTATACTAAAATAAGTTAAATGATCCGGGTGCTGTGGACTGCATACACTTCAATCTGCATTGTAGAATATTAGACGCGAGCATATGATAGAACTGGGGCTTCTCAAAAGTATATCACATGATATTAACTCTATGAAAAAAAACTAAGGATTAGGCTTCTAGAACCGCTACCCTGAAAACCCTCCAAATCCAATTAATTCCCATGGCTAGTCAACCAGACTCACGACAAAGATTTCATACATGCAATAATCACTTACATTTCTCCTTCCCAGCACCTCTGTGGTCATTCATCACTGCAGCCACCTCCCGTTTCCCTTCCTGTCTTCTCACACGCAAATCAGGTTTCCATGAAAATTCAACTAACCTAAATATAGGATAGCACACCATCCCCAACTCAAGCTAAACAATGGTCAAATTGGAAGGCCTAACCTCACCCATAGAGAATTCATCAACCCTATGATAGACGGGTCCAGGAGGGCCGGCCCTTGTATACAGCAAGGTTTATGCTTGTTGTTTCCGCCCGTACTGAGTTATGCCCCCTCCTGTGGGGCCCACTGCTTGAGTAGAGAGAGAGAGAGGGATAAGGAAGAAAAGTTTGAATTAGGAGGGTTGTTTAGTCCTTTTGGGTGTTATTTTGTGTGCTTTATGTAATAGGGTTAAATTAGGGTTGGAATTATCTTGAGTTTTCAGAATTTTCGTGATGCTTTTGGTGTTCTTGGGCTCTAGTAGTGTCTAGAGATTTGGAAGAGATAATCCTCCTCTCAAATTGAGGATCAATTGTATCTTGCAATTTTCTTTCATCTACTATTCAATCAAGGGTGTTTTTCTTGTTTTTCCTTCGTTAAATCGATTCCTGAAATTTTGATTTTAGCAATCGGTTTCTGTTTCTACAGTTATTTCCTATCACCCTACTTTTACCATCCACAAGAATAATTCTTGAATGCCCATCACGAATGCTGAACTTTGTGCAAATAGGAGATTCTATAAAGTATGTCTCCCAGAGAAAATGATACATCTATAATGAGAAACAGTTGAACTAATATTATGATGGTTAGGAAGTTAACAAATAGACAGGCATTATTCAGGCAAATAATATACGCAAATCTAAATATGGTGCCCCACTCATTAACCATCGCTCAACCATACCTCTCTTTTCTGCAGAGCTGCTTCCTTCCTGCAGAAAAGAAGCCGCAAATGTTAGGACATAAAGGAATAATTTCCGATGAACATAAAGATAAAGCTACACTTACCTACTCAATAACCTAGCTTCCAGTGAGACACCCTCCCCAAGAGCAGCAACCTAAAATTGAATACAGGGCTAATAATTTTAATTTTTTTACAAATAACAGCATATAAAATTTGCAGCATATTTCAACAGGAATTTAGAACTTGACAAGACAAGCTGTGGATGCAAAGAATGAAAACTTATATTTTCTGTGTGCTCGATAAGTGTGATTATTTCCTTGAAATTAACTTTGATAACAGTCTCCAATTATCTTCATCTTGAATATGTGCCTAGCTAGATATTCATTGATCTTGAATTCAACCCGTATTCAAAGTTATTTTTAATAACACAAACCAAAAAAATGTTTATTATCATCTTCAAAACTAAAAGGAAATCGTTTTGGGTGCATGGGTCACAAACATCTTCCTCAAGATATATGTTTCAAACTTGCTTGCATCATAGCCATCTCCTTCAAGAAGCATGCTACAACCTCACATACGTTGCATCACGGTCTCCAGTCCTATGCCATAATCTTACTAGTATCGCAACCATCTCTCAAGACACGACTCACAGTTATTGGTGTCTACAAACCTACACTGAAAACTCGCTTGCATTGCAACTGTCTCCCTTGAACTATGCATTAATCTTGCTTGTGCCACATTCACCTTCCTCAAGATGTGTCGTAACCTTGGATGTGTTATAACCATCTCTTTCAAGACATACACAATTCTACTTTTATCGTAGTAATCGCTATATCAAAACCTACATTGTAATCTCACTAGCATCAAATTAGTCTTCTTTAAGACATGCAACACCTTGCTTGCGCAAAAACAACCTTCCTCAAGACTTGTGTTGCAATCTCACTTGCTCTGCAGCTGCCTCCTTCAAGAACTATGCCTCAATCTTACATGCATCATAATCATTGCAACCTCAAAACCTGCATTATAGCTATTTCCTTCAATACATATGCCACAACCACACTTACATCATAGCCATCTCCTTACAAACATATGGCATGACCTTGCTTATACCATAGGCATCTCCTTAAAAATATACACCATTACATCACCTGTATCATAATCATTGCCACATCAGGATCTACAGCATTTGTCACAGCCATGTCCTTCAAGTCACTCATCACAACAATATCGAAACAAGGCCTACATTGTAGCTGTCCCCAGCGAGATATGCGAACAATAATCATCTTTAGCCAGGATTGAACTATAACCATCTTTGGTCATTGCATAGCCCAGAGGCATCAAATGGACAGTTTAAGAAAATTTAAGCCCATTTATTTAGGCCCTACAAAACCCATTTTAAACTTTGGCTGGCCGAAATTCATGATGGGCTTTGGCGAGTTACCTGATAAGGCCAATTTAAGCTCATTTATAATGTATTATACTTATCCAATAAATATTAACATAGAAATGTACTCAATTATTTTAGTTTAATTAAAATCAATTAAAAAATATTAATTCCATTGTGAACTGAGAGTATTGAGCTCGATAATTATTTTGAAATTTTCAAATTATAATAATCCAATAAAAACTTGATTCAAGCTTGCTAAAAAGTAACTATAAATAATTCAATTCATAATAATATAAACATGAGATTTATTGGGCAAGAGCTTATATTAGGTTTATAAGATGTTACAATTCCAAACCATATCTCAAAATATAAGTTTAATTTTGAGTAGCTTGATAATGCATGATAGAAGTTACATTGCATTTTTTAAATGATAAATGGGTTTCTATGCTGCTCACAATCTATTATAGTTAGCCCATTTAAGCTCATACACATTAAGGTCAATCCATTAGCACTTTTAAAGGATTGTGCTTATGAGCTCTGATCAACCTAAACCACATCATCCCTATCATGTCCTTGTCATTACATCTACAATTTTCATAAACTACTTACATGAGGACCAACCTTGATGTCCTGAATTTTGCCTTCAGCAATTGACCAAGGGACACCATGTACTGAAGTCCCTCCAATTACATGGAGGTGGACACCAAAGAACCAATTTTCTACAAGTAGCGGATGTTAATCAAATAGGGCAAATACCATGATTTTTATCCACAAGGGGCTTCCATATAAAAAATCTTATGTACCACTCTCATCCTATTTGATTGAATATGTGTGATATCAAAAATAGTTGAAGCAATTGAGCTACTCTCTCTATCAACGCTCCTACCCAGATGCAAATACCTATACACGCACACACATCCGCCAGCATATCTATGTGCAAAGTTACTGTTCCTGATATGTAATTATTTAACCATCAATCAAGCATACACATAATTTATGTTAGATTTGAATATAAATTATTAAAAGATGGGTTTATTGATATTTCCAAGAAATGTTTAGGAATCTCAACCTTTGAAATTATTTTATTAACATAACTTTTACACGACTAGTTATCAACCAAACCTTGCCGGGCTGAATGTGTTCTAAATCCAACACTAACTTCTACACCAAAATTAGAAGTGGCAGGTTTGAAATCGAAAGAAACCATCATCTATCATCTTTATATTGAACAACGCAAATGTGCACACACGTGTGGACATGTATAGAAATACTAAGGCTGTTTACTTTTAGTGGAAGAAAAAAAGCTATACAAAACATAGATTTCTCGCATTAAGAAAAAAAATGTAAGCATCAAATTTCTAGTATTCTAGTCAACAGCTTGTTACAGAAACAATATTTATTCAAGTTTCATGCTTTCTAAGACCAATATAAAGCACAAGAAAAGTAAATACAAAATTACAGTTAAAAATTAAGAGAAACAACCTGTTTCTCAAGCTCCCTGGCTCTGGCCTCTGCTTCTTCACGTTTCTCTTCTGTAATTCGGAGCTACATAAGTACATAACAAAGACCAGTAAATTTTTAGAAGCTTATCAGACGCATCGTTTGTCATATTACAGAAAACAGCAAGAATGTACCTTTTCCATTATGTTATCATTCTCTTCTTGTAGCATGTCAAGCTGCACATTAACAAATGATATATCATAATTGTGATTACAACTTCTATCACAATTAAGTACTTCAAGTACTTTTATCTAGTTGCAAAGTAATTAAAAGGCTAACAAAAATAAACACCCCTGGAAGATTATAAGCAATAAAACAGAGTCACAACAATGAGAGGATAAACCCCTGATATGTAATACCTCATCTTGAAGAGCAGAAGCTTCCCGCCTATTTCCTGATTCTCGGAAAGCCATATGCCCCACATCTACAGGAAACCTGTAAGATAAATTTAAACAGATAATCTGCTGCAAAAACTTAATGATGACAGGAAGACTTTGATTAGATATCTACCATTGTAAAGCATTCTCAATTATCCCAAAAAACGATTTAAACATCGTCAAGAATTGAGCTACAAGCAAATTACATTTTAAAGATATGGAAACAAAAGTCACCAAAATATTCATAGCAAGACAATGATATGCAGAAAACATTGAAAACACAATTCTTGATTCCATTAGGCTTAAGAGGTGAAAATATCACTGGTGCAAAATAACTAATATGAATGTAATGATACTAAAATTAAACACAAACGTTCTTGATCATTATAAATAACCAGTTCACCATAAAAACTAACGAGAACATTTCTAAAATTTAGCTGCAAAACTTGGAGAAAAGTACAAAATAAATTGCCTGCCTCAGTACATCACCAATAAGTTGGACACAATATAAGGATGACAAAAGAATGTTAGGACTTCTGCATAAGTCAAAGATAAGAGGACTTTTTTCATCAATCAGATCAAGGAGGAAGACCTTCAGGCAAGCATGGATACTTCAAAAAAAGTAAATATTTCTTTCAAGCACAATGTTTGTCAGTCCATTTGACAACATAATTTTCTCTTTCAATAGCTATATGATATGAATGCATGTAATAATGAAGAATATTATTAATTGATTAAAAAATGGAAATGCAATTAACTGTGAAATATGTAAAAAGGGTAAACATTTGACCTAGAGAAGATACATAAAGAAATTCGGAGAATTATGGTAATATTGGCGTAATTTGTTAAACAAATATTTTCAATGAGATTTTTTTAGGTAAGAAGTCGAATAAAGTAAAGCTCATGATTGTTGTGATTATAGGGGAATTAAATTTATCAGTAATGTTAGTATCAGAGAATCAATTTGGTTTTTGTTTTATGTGGATCCACAATAGACATGATTTTGTGCTCAAGCAAATATTCAAAAAATACAGAGCGTAGAGAAAGTGTATTTATACATTTTTTATTAATATTGAGAATGCGTGTGATCAAATATAATTAGAATTGATTTATTTTTCATTAAAAAATATGTTTTCAAAAGGGCCTTTAAGTTATTAATGATATACAAGCTCTGACTATCATCATACTCAATTATCTTAGTGTACACTTTTTTGCATGTGATGATTTAAATCAACTACACCTATGTTAAAATAAGTTAAAAATGAAGCAAAAGAGAAACTTTGCAGAATATAAAGGGTCTAAGATTAACATAATAAATATTGAGTATATGATATTTATTTTTAATTGGTATAATATTATGAATAAGAAAATATCAAAGCACCACAAAAGTTTAAATCTTAAACAAAATAGGGACATCTCAACTCTAGCATGACACACCAAGCCCAAACAAACCTAGTATTATTACAAGTAAAGCATGGCTGAAGATCAAAAGGGTTAAGTTCGTTGGCAGACGGCAAGCCGACATAAGAGGAGAGGTAAACCACATGTAGATTTGCAATAGGAAGAAAGATGCGTTGACAAACCTGGATGAGAAAGCGTCGGATTTGGGGAAGAGAGACAGAGAGTAAACAAGAAGACATTGCGTAAAAAATAGGATTAGAAATTATCAAATTAAACTTAATTCAATAAGGGATGGTGGAAAATTAAGAAAACATCATTAAGATGGAGCATTTTTCTATTTTCATTTACCATTTATAGACCTTTTTTGGTGTTAACATGAACCATTAACATCAAATTATGCAATACCAATATACTATAATTATATAGATCTAATCTCAAATAGTCAAAATAATTAAAAAAAAGTCACTATGAGTTAGTATATTTCTTCAATGAATTAAGAATAAAATCATAAATTTCCTAAATGCTTACATTATTGACTATAGTGCGCAGTACAACCCATAAGGTAGCTTGCCCATCATGGTAAAGAGGAAGATATCACATGTGCGTCAAATAGCACACACTATTCATATCTCATGCTCGCAATAGCACACAATGTAATGTACTAGTGTTATTAAAGACAAGCATGGGGTTCACCTAGGACCCTTGGTGAGTTTAGGCAATGCCATTACACCACACACACCTAGTTGGTGCGTTACTAAGGTGTTTCTACCAAGTGCCTTGCCTTAGCACTTTAGGCAATGAAGCGAACGCCTTGCCATGCTTGAAAAGATTGTTGATAATACTTAAAATGTTGAAAATAAGCTTGTTATCTATAATTATAATTTGAAATGGAGCGATATGAAAAGTGTATCAAATATTGGATAAATAAGAATATGCACTACAATTAAGTTGGTTCAAATTTTGTTGCAAAAAACATCTAATTTAAAATAATAAACATAAGGATGAAGAGAATGGAGAAGATGAATTTGAGAAGATAAATAAAGAGGAGAGCAACTAATCTAGCCATGAAGAGGAAAGCATGGAGGATGACAAATATGGAATACATGGTAGTGCAGATTTGACTATCCCTAGGCTATACTTTGGCAAGATTAAGTTAGCTATAGTGCTATACCCATTTAACTTCTCATGAAATGAAACTTGAAAGTAATTATTTTTCCAACATGATTTTATATGATAACTATCATATTATAGTCCAGAAAAATGCTCATCATAATTAAGATATTGATGTAGAACAATCATGGGAAGATGATATGCTTAAAGGACGTTTGCACATTTAGTTTTAGAGAACAATAATAAGCAAGATCTCATGTTGGTTTGAACGATAAAATAAAATATTAAAGTGATAAATAGCATTGGTTAAATTACGTGCATAGAAGTTAAGAGCATAAAAATCAATCAATAAGACTAGCTATTACAAGGAACCCTTCACTCAACTCTTCCTATTACTAGGCTTTAGCAGAGGGACCAACAACATCTTTGTGAATCAAAATATAACCACGTGGGAGAAATAAGCTAAGAGGCTAAAAGAGTCGGAGGTCGAGTTTATCCGAAGTATGAAGTACACGAGGCTCCGGTGGTCATAGGAAGGCTTGGAAGGAGGTAGGTGGCATCCACGAACCTTCTTGAAGGTGTGATCAGCAATTTGACGTGTCCTGACAGCGTTTGAAGACCTTCCACTTGGCTGGACAGCAAGAAACAGGTGCAGGTTTTCTCAGGACAGCACACTCATACCCAGAAAAGTCTCAAGCAATGGACGGGGACTTATCCGATCAGTTGGACAGCAAGTACACGTTCCGGATCTTCTAAACAGCAGGTTGCAGGTGCTTGATACGTGAAACAACAACAAGGAAGATGTCTGGACAACAAGGGGGTTGAGTTTTGGGGCTGACCAGCTGGTGGGGATGAATTCAGTGGACAGCAGTTTACCAATTCTCTGAACTTCTGGACAGCAATCCCGTTAGGAAGATTTCAGGCTCTCTTGTTCCGTTTGGAGAAAAGAGAGAGGTCTAAGGGCTAATTCAAATCAGCTCTAATTTGAATTTCAATTGGGCGTAATTTGGGGGATTGAATGATAATTGATTGAGAAAAGAATTAAGGAGAAATTAATGAGGGGTAGGCCGGCCATGAGAGAGAGGGGGAAATTTGTGTCTAAATTCGTTGTAGGTGGTCCACGGCATTAATGACGATGGGGAATTAAAATCTGAAATTAATCTCAGATTTTATTAGATTGAATTGTTTTCCTAAATGGCTTGGGCTAATTGGAAAGAAATTTGAAATTCAAATCAATTCGATTTGAATTTGAATTCTTCCCAAAAATGCTATGGCCAAATATGGAAGGTATTGAATGGGGAATTTAATTTGGGGATCCAATGTGAGGAGAGGTGGTGAGGCCGGTGGTGGGGAAATTAATTTGAAATTTGAATTCAAATTAATTTTCAATTAATGCATTGATGTGGATTTAATGGGAGGAAAGCCACATGGTGGCCGGCGGCATGTAGAGAGAGAGGGAGGGGATTTGGGAAAGGTTTGGGGAGTTTCCAAAGAGGGATTGTGGATTAGGAAAATCATTATAACATCCAATTTGTTTGAAATTTAAATTGAAGTCATGAATAAAACTTTCCTAAATAAGAATTTTCAAAATTGGAAAGTTTTGAAATTCAAAATTTGAATTTCAAATTGACTCCAATTTTCCCTCTCAAGCCCAACTAAATTTGAAAGATAGCATGATGATTGAGATCATCATCACAACGGAAAAGGGGGCTTGGTGGGGCGGCGGCAAGAGGAAGGGAATGTGTGGGTTGATTGCTTGCCGTCGGGTTTTGATAATTTTGGTGGAGGTTGGATATGAAATGGGGAAGCTAAGGGATGAAAAGGATGTGGGAGTAAGGGGGAAAGAAGAAGATAGGGAAAAGAGAACCACGAACCCGGATGCTTCCAAGGTTGGTGGGTATTGCGTTGCCCTTCACCAAGGGACTTTCTCAAAGCTCTCTCCAAGAACTCTCAAACTCTCACAAGAGTAAAAAGCATAAATTTTCATAATAATCTTTATTAGCCCTTCTCCAATAAGAGGAGGGATTTAAATAGACAAATACAAGAAGGGAAAAATAAAAGACAACAATGCCCTCGGGGCTTACAAAGACCTAATCCCTTAAGAAAGGGCATAAATGGAAAAAGACAGAAAATAAATAAATACATCACATATAATTGAAATAAAAAAGGCGTCATCATAACCATCGATCATCGGCCACGTCCCTGATGGAACATTAAGGGTCTTATGTCCGCATCATTCTCCCTGGCTGGGAGAAAACTCAACTACGTCGAGTGGATGTCTCAAAGGCTCGTGTAGAGCCGCAAATGAATCTGGATCCAACTCTGTAACTCCTCTCGATCAATCCACGTATCTTCTATCTTTGGTTTACCTCACCGCCTTATCAAAGAGCTTCTTTGTCCACCCTCTTTTGTGGAAATAATGTCATCACTTAGAATCATGTTAATCACTTCTGCTATAGGTAATTTAGGAATATTTGGGAGTGGAGTTAGGCTTGGGTTCTCACAGGGTGGGGTCACACAAGGCTTAATTTGAAGTTGATTTGGAGC